GTATGCTGATTCTGAAAATGTAATGTGACAAGACCAATCTCGCCACTGTGAATTGGTGGAGCCTGGTTGCCTGCCTGCTGCCTTTTGACTATGGACCGGCATTTAATGCAGAAAGGTCTATTCATGTATTTCTGCCTGGGCGTTTGGTAGATTCTATCTACCAAACTAACGGCCGTCTATTGGCCTCCCAGGAGCCGAGGTTAGCTGCCAGGCGCCGTTAATTGGCCGCCCAGAAGCCGGCATGTGCCGTCAATTGACCACCCAGTAGCTGCGGTTAACCGCAGCTTAATTGACTATACCGGGTGGCCGCGGCTACGCATACTGAACACTGGATGGCAGCGGTCTGCAGTTCACACGCGGCTGGTTCAGTCACGGATTTAATTAACTCCTTTAACCTAGATAGCTATGCCATGGAGCCCATTCATGTAATAAAAGAGTTTTGGCGCTCAGACCTAAGCTATCTGGGGATATGTTGCATGTCTGTATTTTATGTAATAAATGTAACCATGTGTATTTTTTTGTATTTTACTGTCTTTTTACTGCCATGTGCTTAATGGAGTTTTGCCTCTGTCCTTGGAGATAATTGGATTACTTCCTAATTATCTCCAGGATAGAGAGGAGGTATTGTGATGTCATTGTGGGAGTGGTTATGTGTTGTATGTTTTGATTGGAGGTTCCACAAAACCTTGTGGGTGGGACTTTGTCTGTAAAATGTGTATATAAGAACAATAAACCCACAGCTCTGTCTGTTCCTGTTTGACCCTCAACACGGAGCCTTGTCTCGTTCTTGGGGGTTGGGAGATTTATTGTATGCTGTTCCAGTTCGACTGCTAGGAGTGTAAACCTTTCGTATGGTTTTTCCTATTCGACTGTTTACAGCATTCGTAAGTTTGAGAGCATTATGCTTCTCCGGTTCGGTGGATTGGTGTCTACAGTAGCTGCCTGTATATCTGGAAGGGAATATCTCCTAAATGGCTGTTAGCCCCTTTTATGCCTGGAGGTGCCGTTACATGTAAGTTTTATGTGAATGTGATGTATATTTTTAAAGTTATGAATAATGTGGAAAAACTGTATTTCTCTGTCTGTGATAATTACATTAACCCATTGTGTAAGGTAATTGTATCACAGGCAGAGGGGAGGATTTTGTGTGGGAGTGTCTGAGTGTATTGTACGTGTTTATTGGTTGTTCCACAAAACCCTGTGGGTGGTACTAATATATAAGAACAATAAACCCACAGCTCTGTCTGTTCCTGCTTGACCCTCAAAACGGAGCCTTGTCTCGTTCTCGGGGGGGGATTTATTGTATGCTGTTCCAGTTTGATTACTAGGAGTGTAAACCTATTCGTATGGTTTTTCCTATTCTGCTGTTTACAGCATTCGTTTGTTTGAGAGCATTCATATGCTTCTCCGGTTTGGTGTCTACAGTAGCTGCCTGTATCTCTGGAAGGGAATATCTCCTAAACGGCTGTTAACCCCTTTTTTGCCTGGGGATGCCGTTACATTGCTTGACGTAGCCATTTTGTTTTTAGTCCCTGTGTGGCAAACCTAGCCACTTACAGAGTATTATGTATAAATATGCCTGGTGTTTGTTTCTATTGTGTCTCTATTCGTGAGTCACTTAACCCCTGTTAAATTTATCCGTATGCAAAGATTTTCACCTAATGTTCATATGCATTCGTGTGTTACGGCACACGAATACTGCTAACACGCTGTTGCAAGTTTCACAAACAGTGGATTCCAACCCTGTTCGTGAAACGAACCAAAAGACTGAATGGGAGACCACCCCAGAAGGTCGTGTGCCGCTCGTTAGTAAAACCGAAACAGTTTATCCATCTGTTAATGAGCGTTCTGTGTGTGGCCACCGTTCGTGTACCGAACACGTGGCAGCGGTCATCTTTGCTTTGTTAGAGTTCAGCGGTGTTTGGTCGCCGAGTGCCTGGAACCGAAATCG